GAATCAAGAAATAAGAAATAGATAAGAATAGTAGCTGAGAAGTAGATATCTGGTGAGGTGTTGGGACATGGTAGAATTACATACCCGGTAAAAATACAGTTACACCATATCATATATCTCTGCTAGGCAAAGGCCTCCATTATAAAGGGGGTAGTAGTGCACATATCTTCAAATAATTTTCCTTATGGTACTTTCAAAAACATGCAGATTTCCTTACAATATTCTCCTTCAAGTACATATTTAAATCAACCCTTATAATTGCAATTAACAATTTCATTGATTTGAAGTCAGCATGGTCGAGTATATTGAAATGAAAGCGAACGCCCTGGCACTGAGATGACACGGCTCACATAATTAGTACAAGGCACTAATAGAATGAATGTAAAGATCCAGATTATGAAGCGCGTTGAATCCAGTTGATGAATTCGGTTCGGCTACGCAGCGATAGACTTCAATATTGCAGGTCGTGGGTTTTTAGGGACATTTAATATTCTAGGGAACAGCATTTTTATGACCTACAGATAACTGGTCTGATTGTCCTTGTCTATGCTTATAAAACGCCTGTACAAAATACTATCGTAACCTATATATGGGTAATCTAAAAAAAATCATCGAAGTACTTATTAAGAAGGTTGAAGTCGTTAATAAGACTTTCACGTATCATTTCAGTGTTTAAAAAATCATTAAGTCTTTACTAATGAAAGAAAATTATTTAAAGTTAGTTTCACTCTAATCGACTTTCCCTGTTGCAGTGAATTGGAAACTAAAGAAATTAGAAAGAGGGCGTGTATACGAATTTTAATTTTATATTTAACGAATGCGTACATTAAAATTACCCGAAAATACTTTAGGAAAGCCTAAGGAATAAAACTGTTTTTAGATAAAACTAAAATAAAATAATTTAATTTATTATCTAATATGGAATGCGGCAAAGTGCCAAAATTAAAGACGAAATTTTATATTCATACTTCATTGCACAGTAAAATAAAATAAACAAAAACAAAAAACTTCACATAGAAATGATGGGTACAGTGGGCGGCTTTGTTACTAAAAGTTTTTTAACAAAATTATAGCAGATGGTCATGATATTGAAAAAAAATTTTATGCATATTTTTTAGAACTTATTAAGTATTTCAAATTCTAAAATATCTCAATGTTCTAAAATATATATCAAAATGTGCCCAGCCAAGTATCTCTGATCTAAGCTTAAAATCATTCTCTTAACTTTGTTACACAACCTTGAGTGGATTATGTTCATAATTAAATACATATTCATTATACTAACTTTAATCTTTTCATCAGATACCCACAGTATTCATTAGCTTAGCTTCTTACTATTTTTTTAGCAAGGTGTTATGGTGTACAACCATAAACCATGATGAACATCGCCACCGACTCCAAAAATTGTTAAATTGTTAGAGGTTCGGATTTTCAAGATTTCAGTACATTAGATTTAGTATTATTATAAACTTTTTTAGTGCTAATAGGGTTTTTTTCAAGTTAGATCACAAAAACTTTATATTTGTTTATATGTGTGTAATTATTTAATTTTTATACTTAGGTATAATAAAATATGAGTAGACCTAGCAAAGACGCTTCTCGTAAGAGAAAACGACGTCAAACTGAATGAAACTGACGACCAAACCTGAAAAAGGAAATTGATTAATAGCAAATAAAGAAGAATATTTCTAAGCTTTTCAAATGAGAGGCCTGACCAGCGCTTAAATATAATTTAAAAAAGATCCAAAAGATCCTATATATTAGGTAGGTTAAATAAAAATTACAATAATCGTCTTAGTTTAATTCGCACTCGTCCATGGGGGAGGGGGGGGGGGGGGGGGGGGATCGTGTAACACAATCTAAGTCCATCCTTCTGCCACACTTAAAAAAACATATCGTGGACTTGGCAGCATTAGCGAGTAAAAGTAAAGTAAAAAAACATAAAAAAAGTAAATCTACCTATACATGTAAAGTAACTACCTGTACATTTCCCACTGTTGGGCAAATACCTCTTGTGTACAGAAGGTATTAGGGCATAGTCAACGCGGCTCCACTGCGGATTGTCGGACTTCACATATCTTCGTTTTTTTTTGTTATTATTACGAACACTTAAAATTAACAATTCAATTGGCAAAGGCACTCAGGCTGCTAGACTGTATTGAATTGAAGGGCGAGTACCCGACTGAGCTACAGCTCTAGTTAACCTTAGTGTTTTAACTGAAAACTGTAACGCTAGTAGGGCCACGCAATAGCTACTGCAGTTGAACGAATGGGCAGGCCCGTTCGTAGAAGTAATACGGCCTCACAGACCAGCGTTAAGTCGAAGTGCAATACTTGCGCGTTTCGTTTGTTGAGTGAGGTATCCGGAACCCACTTTTTAAATTTTGTAAAGCATCTGCAAGGTCTTAGGTGTTGCAGATATCCATGGCGAGCGGTATTAGATGAACCGCAAACTTGACAACTGTTCACGTAAAAACATCTGTTAATATCTTTTGGCGCCCCTAATTCCCTGTCTGCACTTGATTGTGTCGTTTGTCGTGGAACGGCTTTTATGGACGGATGTCTGCTCTTAATGCATGTACATGCCTTACCTTTTACGCGAAAGGTCATAAGGGCTTTCTATTTACTACATGCAGTGGAGTTTATAATGAAAACTTCTAGCAAAAGTTAGGCTTTGCGAATATTATTACCAGCTTCTGGAGTGCATCAGAAATGTTCGTGGAGGCGCTTGTTTTTACACCATGAAGGGCAAAAGATGCGGGTCATTGGTATAAAATGCGGTGAGCCGACACAGCGTTCTGCATATAATCGCGAGCGTCTTGACCGTATGTACGGCAAGGCCACGCAGTAGCCTCAGCTGTTGCATGAATGGGATTGGGCAGGTCCGTCCGAGGAAGTACCACGACACCAAAGAAGACCGGCAAGTGTCATACTACTGCGTTTCGTCTAGTGAGTGAGGTAGCCGGGGCCCATTTTATTAAAAGGGAAGCATATCTGCAACTCTACGGGTGTTCAAATGGCCTGTGGCCGGCGGTTATCACTTAACATCAGGTGGACCGCCAGTTCGCTTGCCGTCTTCTGACATAAAAAAAAACATCAATCATTGCTGCATCACATTGCTTAAGACGAATTAGAAATGAGGGAAGTAACACTACATATTATAAGGACGGGGAAAGTTTCTTCGTGTATTTTATATAAGAAGTATAAGTACATTTACCTAATTACTGTTGCTTTCTTGAATGTAGTGACATAATCTCGTTGCTGTAGAAATTTTGGGACTTAAGACAAAAAGAACAAGGAGATTTGACAGTCCTCTCTTGATGTTAACCTTACATAACACTATTGCACTACCCAATGAGTTTTGAAAAGACCAAAGTAGGTGGAAATTTAAGGATGTAATATCAGGGCTATATGGTCAGTGCATAACACTTACCAACAATAATTTTTGCTGAGAGGCCGAAGATGTCCGTTGCCTAGCGTTATTAAGGTGATCAAACTCTCTCCGTTGATCAATTCCGGCCGTTATTAAAATTCCCGGACTGAAAACATTGGAACCGATTTTGTTACACACATTGACGTTTACGGACCTCATGTCCACGAGTTTTCTTTCGCGGCTTGAGTTGCATTCCCCAGGGAAGCCCCCCGGCTCAGCTTGGATCTTATAAAGTAACAAGACTTTGTCATCAATTTTATAAAGTAAAAGTAAAGTAACAGCCTATACTGGGCATGCTGGGCAAAGGCCTCCTCTATACAGGGTGTATCAGGGCATAGTCCACCACGCGGCCCCACTGCGGATTGACGGACTTCACATATCTTCGAAATATATATTTTTTGTTATTATTTCGAAAATATGCAGGTTTCCCCACGATGTTTTCCTTCACCGCAGAGCACGTGATAAGTCAGCACTTAAAGCTAACAACTTCATTGGTGCCGGCACCGGGGATCGAACTCAGGCTGCTCGAGTATATTGAATTAAAGGCGAGCGCCCGGACACTGAGTTATCACGGCTCTATTTTATAAAAAGAAGCAAATTAAAATAGTAATTAGTAAATTTTACGTAGAACTAGATTGTTGTTACAAGGAAAATAACAAATACACGAAACGGGGAAAGAGGAAGAGGAATTTAACCGAGAAAAATAAAACACTCCATAGTAGTTTCTACGGTGTATTACGTATGATGGTAAAGACGACAAGGGGAATTATAGGACACTCATATAGATATTGCAAATACAACACTAAGCATAGGATTCAAATAATACACGTATTAAAACGAAATATTTAATGTAATGAACTAAAAGGCAATATGAAAACAGTATGCCAACTTCCAGCGTTTCCCACTAAGCATATTTAAAGTAACAAAGTACAAACACGATAAGATCCTAATAAATATTATATCTTTACCTAAATATTTACATAATATGCTGTAATGGCAGCGTCTTCTTAATCACTACAACCACCATTTGTAGAAAGGATAGGCAGATCTACAACATAGCCACCATAGACACGTAGACGAGACATTTAGGCACACAGAATAGAAACGCACGTGTGTAAACCCTAAATTTAAACACGCACACGCTACGTCCACGTGACATTAGATCTAACGCCTCGCGACCCTAGAAACTGTAACAGTATTTTGTTCTTGCTACATACAAATATGGAACATTAATAAAATAGATACATTACGAGCATGGCTATAGACGATCGTCAAAATTTGCATATTACATCGATTCTAATATTTTAAAGAGCACAAAATATGAAAATCGCTTTTACATCGATATAGACACAATGATAATTTAAATTTGTAACGATACCAATATATTAAGACAAACACTCACCCCCATATCTAGAATTCTTTTAATAAGTACCGTCTAAACATTCGTAGATATTGCTATTTGACAAATAGTTTTAGATTGTTATCTAAGCTGAAAAGTAACAAATATTAACTGAATATTTATCAATATTCAAAGCATTTAATTATTAGAATAGATCAGCCAATACTAATCCAAATCGTCAGCCTCAGGTGAAGCTCTAGGAGCTAGTTTCGTCGTAGTCATTCCGTCTACATTGGACGGGGGCGGATCGTCGACGGATAGGACCGTGGTTTGCTCGCGTCTGCGGTCTAAAGTTGAGCTATCGACTTTTTCCAAGCTCACGCTAACTTTCTCGTCGTTAGCTTCGCCGGACAAACGCATTTTAGCCGTCTCAACTTCCCCGGTGGCAGAATTGTTACTTCTCACAATTTTTATATCGCTGTCGGACTGCTTTCTGTTGATCTCTTCGATTTTTACGCCGCCCTCGACGGTCGTGTTGACGGAGCTCTTATCGGTTCTGATGATCTCGTCCCGATTCGACGCCGCTATGGATGTGTCCGAGCTTTCGCTGCCCGTGTTGGTGCCTGTGGCGGTCGTTTCTGGCGATGCCACCCTGGGGGGGTCGACCTCGCCCGTGTGCGTGGTGTTGGTCTGCGCCGTGGAGACCGACGGCGAGGTCTGAGTGGTTGATTGCGCGGTGCTCTGCACGGTCTGGGTGGTCGACTGCGCGGTGGGCGGTGTGGCCTGCGTGCCGGTGCCGGGCGCGTCGTGGTAAGCGGCGCCGCTGGCCAGGGCCGCTATCCCCGCCAGGCCCATCATGCCACCCATGCCGTGGTGCGAGCGCAGCAGGAGCTGTTGCAGCTGCGCCTGCTGTAGTATCACGGGCAACTCGTAGTGGTGGAAGAAGTACAACATGGAGTGCTGCGAACAACAAATACATATTTAAACGTGTATATTTAATATATAAATATAACGTGTAATGGAATTGAATGAATTTGAAAAACGATGAATTTTATCGATTTTTATGAAAAATAAAAAATATCGCACGAGTGCAGCGTATTATACATATAAACCTTCCTCTTGAATCACTCTATCTAGTAAAAAAACCGCATCAAGTTCCGTTGCGCAGTTTTAAAGATCTAAGCATACATAGGGACTGACAGCGGGACGATTTTCAGCCACGGATGGCCACTAAGTGGAGGGAGGGCAATGATATATATACAAATACGATAAATAGATTGCAACTATATAGACTGCTATTTCTTTCCGTATCATACATTTTATATGGACATGCGTCAACTATATTATTAAACGTAGGAGTGGGGTAAAAAAATGTCAAAGATGGGTCACGTAGTATGGGTACGTTCCCTAACTTAGAAACGTACTTAATTGTATTTCATACAAAGAGTGATTCTAACATTGTATAAGAGACGCTTAGTAAAAACGCGATTACTAACCACCGTAGTGAGAGCATCATAGTCGCTGTATGGAGTATCGCTTTATGTCCCATCTAGGCGTACGAGTCCCCGTAATTGGCCTTTATTTCAAGTGAAATCATCTCATACCCGGTATTTATTATATAACACTGTCTCGTAGAGCAGACTCATACAATACATTTTATTTAAAATCGACCCTTTCGACGTTAAAATTAAAACTTACCAAAGCTTACTGTTCAACCATTCAAATCATGATAATTATAACCAAACTCGTTCACACATACTCGCACATAGATCCACAAATCTTGTTCATACTTTTAAAAGATTAACGATATCATATCTATACGTTAATTAGCTTTAATTCCATGTTTTCAATTTCATTTATCTTTGTTCTTTAGTTGAGGTATTCATGTTTTTAGTTTTCCCCGTAATAAATAAAAAAGAGCTCAGTTTCCGTTTTCAGATACGAAGCAGCAGAACATAATTCATTAACTAACAGTGCATAAGTTTTACAAGAAACTGCAACTTCTTACGAGACACATCGATAGTACGCAGTAAAACTTCAGCAGACAAATAAATGAGCAATTCGTGACAGCGCCGCCATTCCGGTGTTTATTTATTTATTTCTGGGTCAAAGTTGCCTCCCCTCATGGCAGCAGACGTAAGTTTTAATTAAGAAACTTGTGACCGCTCCGACTGTCAACTTTTATTTGAAATTATATTTTCCGATCCCCTCGTTTGAGATTTTATTTTTTATTTTCGAGCAGCGGCAAGGTGTAACGGGTTACCGTTGAGGACAAGTTGGGGAAACCCCCGTGATTTATTATTCCGAGCGTGCAGCGCGCCATAACATAATTGAAAAGAAAAATCGCAATTCGCTTCTCCTTCAGGATTTTATTACGTTACACTTATTTCACTTAATTGTGTAAGTCATGCCGCCATGCGTAGTACGAAACATATTTAAGGGTTACGTTTTATTTTCAGGTGATGTTTCGACAACCAGGCGGATTAATTTGTTAATATTTTGTATAATATCCGATATTAAGTTGCTTAACATTTAACCATTAACATTTCTGAAATAAACACGAATACAGTAATTGCAGTACGCGTGTCTATAGATGCATTGCGAATTATATTACGAAAATCAGCATAACCTAATTGCAAAGCCGATTACTGTAGGCGAGTACACGATTAACCTTAATTAACGCAAACCATCCATATCCCGAATCTGGCAGCGATGATCGCTACGGTAAATATAAAAAAAGGATCAAACGCTTAAAAGGTATTTAATGGACAGGGATGCTGTCCCTTTACGCGTCCATTAAAATCAGCCGCTTTCAATTTCAACTCGTTCTATGTTAAAGAGAGGTCGAGGTGAATGGGTCAACCAATTTTTTTTATGAATTGATAGTTGCTATGACAACAGTACCACCGGTTAAGTACTTGTAACGGCGAAATCGGAACCATAGAATTAAAATTTATTCTTTATTTCACTTAAAAACTGTAGAAAGGTAATGTTAATCCTATACTGCATTCTGGACCAGCTAACCCAAGGTAAAACAGAAAAAAATTACTAGGGCAGTAAGGTAATCGTAATCGTGACATAGTGATATAAAGGTCAAATAAGCCATTGAATGCTCATGATGAATAATCTTAAATAATACTAGTATTATAATTACAAAAAACTTTGTATACCTATTTTGCACTTTAATTGTGGAAGCGGGAAGAAAGGAGCCCTTTGCTAAAAAATTTTCGCCCGCAAATTTGCCTTAAACACTTTACGAGAGGCGCGTTGATTATGCCAAGACGGCTGAATATTCAGAGTAAAATAAAGATGTTTTTATTTAAAAAATGCAAAGGTAAAAAACAGAGGATGCCAACGGACGTAACTTTCTTAGGGCGGGAGACATTTTTGCATCAAAAATACACAATGTTTTTAATTTAACAATCCGCACTCCGTTTAAAAAGTATCTCGAATGCAGACTCTTGTTTGAAGAAATTGTGTAAATAAAAATAAGGCAGTAATCAGTTTTTGCGACGACGCCCTGAACTGTAATTTGTGGGGTTTATTAAAAATAATTCATGGGCAATGAAACTTTCAGTGTGGTAATAGAATTATTTTAATTACAGCTTTTACAAAATTGGGGATAACGACGAAACATCAGGGATAACAGCTTGCATAGAGTATATTTAGCGAATTATCTTGTACCTCTACAGAATGTATGTTTGCTTAAAGTTTAACCATAATTTGCAAGAGATCTGCCCGATTACTACACATCGGCTTGTTTTCCTAACGGCCGCCAAGCGTGTTGATTTAGGACTTCATAGAAATTAGCTGAACCACTTCACAACTTAGCATAACGTTGCTTATGTTTCAAAGTTACACTGAAGTACCAAATAAAAATCAAATCACTTATACTTTTAATATCACATGTGTGATGGAACTGGAATAAGGCAAATATTTATTCTGTCTAGTTTTAAACCTTAAGTCGACACAGAGGTGTAAGTGAAAATTGATCACTCAGGCGTCAATCAAGAAGCTAAAGTGCCGCAGCCTAAAACATGGATTCTAGCAATGGTGTGATTTCGTGATTTTGTGGATAACACCCGCACATTTCAATAAGAGCGCAAGAAGCGGCGATGACACACACAATATATGTTATCACCGGTCCCTGCGATTTAAGAAGTAAACCAATAGTAATGATAATCAGCTACTTTCATCCCGCATGTGGACTGGAAGTAACGGACTATCACTGCGTCATTAAATCATTGTCATTAAGATATGCCAAATAAATAATATATTAGAGGTTAATTCATTTGAATACGAAGGGACGAATAGATCAAATCTGTTCGAAAAAAACCTCTAACTAAAACATGCATAATGACTTGGTGGAAACATTGTGACTTCAGGCCTGCTTATCTTCCTGCATATTCTACAACAGTATACACTTTTAAACCAAAGAGTTTAAGATTGCCAGAATTACTAATGAAAATACACATAGCGAAGAAGCATCTCCTGCTGCGCCCACCAACATCACACTAAAAAAACTTGAAATTTGTCGCAGATGTGTTGGGAGTTAATCGAGGTATAACAAGCTAGGCGCCTTCAGCGCCCGGTCATCTCAAACACCACCTCTTCTCTCACCTTTCTTTAACGTTCCTGGCCATAGAATAGGCTAGGTATGGTAGACCATTTTGCTACTAAATAGGTTTTAGTAGCAAAATGGTCTATTACAATTGATGACTTGGAAGTGAGACTGTTCAGTTAATTTTGGGGAAGATGAATAATTATATCGGAATATTTGGAAAAATGCCCTATACGAATACCCACATAAAATTAACGAATGTAGTCAATGGAATAATCATCAAATAGAGAAGAAATCATTACTAGCATTGCGGTGGCCTGTTGATTTAATTTCAAATTAAGCCAAAAATAAGGCCTTAAGCCAGATGTCAAGCTGTGGCGCTGTTGAAATTAATGTAGCGAGCGCGGCGCTACAGCGGGCGGCAATGGTATGCGCTGCGCGTCGCCGCCAGCGGGGCCGACCTCATGAAATATGATTTTTATTAATAAGTTGACACGCTCGATGATTATAAGATAAGCCCCTGCTTTGCATTCCGCGGGCCCGTCTTGTTTTTCGACTTCGCCCCTACCCGCGGAGGGATCCTCGTGATTCCGCCCTGCCCCTCCAACGGTGTCCCTCCCCCGCCTCGAGCGTAATTCCTCTCTAAATTAATACAACACGAGTGGTATCATTATTCCGTAGCGAAACTTCGATATAATTTTCCTACGGAGATTTCCAAACATCTCCAGTGTATCGCCGTGTGGCGTGTGTACGTTTAGTTTGCGAGAAAGCTCCTCTTGTATTTGAAGTCGTTTTTTTATTCGAGACAGGGACGTATGCAAAATTTGAATGATTCATATTATTACATAATGATTTTTTCTCTGAAGAAGATACGGCAACTGTTGTATGTAATTAGCTGTTGGCGTGCGTATGTTACATTGAAACATATGATTTTATAACTATTCTCATTTGAAAGTAGTGTAACTAGTATACGGTCTAGAAAAAGCTTCAAAAAAGTATATTGATATAGCGTGCAAAATATAAGAAGTTTGCTAAAAAAAGTTTTAACATTCGTTTTAGAGTTTACTTTATGCTGTTCACCTATTACAAACATTCATTGCTATAGGGAGTTTTGTTAAATATTTTTAATATAGAGTAAGGGACCTCACTACTCGGAATAGTCCTCTTTAATATATACACGGTAGGTACAAATAATTATTCTTCTTATTAAGTCGATAATAAAACCCGGTAAGCATCATTTTTTTATCATCAACACAATGCTGGCGCATTCTATTGGACACTAAGGCCTGTGTAAGATACTCAAGTCATTCATCTTCTTTCAAAATATAGTCTAGGGAATATTGCTTCATAAGTTTGTTTGAGTTTCACTGCGATTTCACTGATATAACTATGTCATCGAAAAAAGGGATTTAATCACTGTATAAAATATACTGTTTGAGGCCATTCTCATAGCATACACGGTAAGCGCTCATTTCACAATTTACGCCATACGTGAAATTTGATTGTCAATAAATAATATACACACAACACAACCCCAAGTGTGCTTCAAGACAATAATAAATATCAAATCGCTGCGACGGAAACTGAAAAACACAGTGACAGGCGAACAAAGGGCGAATGTCCACGTCGCGTGTTATTAACTTCCGCATAGGGCGCAACCGGAAATCGTAGCGGAACACTTCAATACTAAAAATAACGAACTAGGACCCCTGTAAGGCGACGTCCATACAAGTCCTTTTCACGAAATATATGACTTTATATTCAACATACCAATATGCCAACATGCAACCAAATGAGAAACTAAATACTTTAGTCGTGGTTAGTGTCGGCATATTAGAATAGGGTCTTTCTAACCGAGGTGTTTTAACAGGCGACTAAGGTCTATCGACATGATATCCAACCCGCATTGTAAGTTGACAGATGGATAGCGGGATTACAATTATGAAACATACAAACATAGCTAACATAAATAACGCAGGATATAATGATGGGCAGCAGCGTCATTGTCGCTACTACTTTACGATACGTACTGCGATCGAAAGCTATTCTTGGCACAAGAATAGCTTAATTTAAGAATCTTGAATATTATTCAAATATATAATATATCCAATTCGAGACAAGCAAATGACTCGAACGGGGGATTAACTGTTAAATAAATAATATATTTACTTAATCTTTGCACTATGGGTGTCAAACTTTTAGAGAACTGTTGACCTGGCATCAAAACAAAAAAGGTATAAAATATAAAATTGTAGTAGAGCCACGCAACAGTCTTGGCTGTTGCACGAATGGGCCTCATTACACTACTGGTGTCCATGAACGGCGGTTATCACTTAGCATCAGGTGAGTCGCCAACTTCTTGCCATGTTCTGATTAAAAAAAATCTTAATTCATCTATCTCGATAAACAGTATGTTTCAATAAACAACAGATAATCTCACAATAACATCTCACGTCTCTAATTATTTCCTGCAGATAATGACATCCTGCCCATCAGTGAAATAAACACATCTATTTCTACACTGAGAGATAAATGTTCGGTACCAATCTTATTTACACGTGTTTCTATTGCCGAATAAAAGTCCAGAAAATATTATATGCAATAGTAGATTTCTTACATTTTCGCAAGAACAACACATCGTAAAATAAAACTATTTCGATGATTTTTCTTCATTAAGTTTAAATTTTTTTATATGGGCTTCTGTAATTAATTCATATGACCAATAAATTTTCAGATATTTTTTTATTTATCAAACATTAGTACTTACGTAAGTACTTACTTAAGTACCACGGTTTTACAGAAGACCAGCGTGTGGTGGAATTATTAAATTTTCACGTTTTGTCTGGTAATTGAGTTAACCGGGGCCCACGTTTTGAAAGATTATCAACGCCACAATTGGGTGTTGTAGATGACCATAGGCGTTATTTACTTAACATTAGGCGAAACGCCTCCACACTTGACAATTTTTCACATAAGAAAAGACCACAGAAACGTCATTTTTGCTTATTTAAGAACGTCATTTTGAAATCCCCGAAGACGGCCCCTAACGGACACGCCGGTGCGGAGAAAATATTACACGCACGGCTACTGTTTGGACTGTCTTGGGGTTTACTTGACAAAACTTCCAAATGTGACACATGACACGGGGCACATTACAGTTGTACACAACTGCATAATTCAGCTAAACAGATGTTAAACAACTTATGAAGTTTTAAGAGAAAATTCTATTCCATCTTCAATTCTGTCTACCAATACATTTAAATAATATTCATGTACGTATCATATAACAGGTTTTAAAACGAGTTAAAAAGTACAAAAATGACATGGAGTTTGATTTAATACCGATACCAAGTCTCTTCCAAATTGTTCTAAAAATATACCTTTGAAAAATGGAGCGGAAAACGTAGAGTGGACGCAATATCTATTACAAATGTAGATAAAGAGCAAGGAGAAAAATTACATATCAGTTTAAGTAAATTGCGATGCAATAAACTTATAAGTTAAACCAATAACGCAAAATGATTGGAAGCATGCACTCTAACATTTCGATAGCTGTTAAAATTTAGTGCCAAAAAAGCCTATATACCTTAACCTCGAAATAACAAAAGAATACAGCTGTTAAAGCAAATTGTTTTAAGAGATCCACGTTATATTTTATATCGGCCGCAGTTAAATCGAGTCGCGGGTTGATACTCGCTGAGTACCACGTGCTTGCGTTAACGTTTGGGGTTAGATTTGATAAGAAATGCTCACGAGCCCAAGGCATTCTCGACTGGCAGCCGGAGTTTTGCCTTTTCGTTCAAAAATAATAACAACGTTCGACAATTATAAAGGCTTCAAAAAATTTCCACTTTCCTACGTCGTATTCCTTTAGGGAGTTGTCAGAGTTTTTCTGTTTTCTGTGCCATTTTATTATTTAATTTGATCTGGTTCTTATGATATATGCACGTACGTTTACTCCACAAGCCAATGAATTTATTTTTTTTATAAAATCAAAGGATTCTTTAATGAAACTCTAAAAACAATTCAAAGATCTGTTATCAAGAGAATATTTAAACATTTCTTACAGGTTAGAATAAATTCCCGCAACAAAAGGTTTCCCCATTTTTCGTCTACCTGTCCGTCTACAAATGTAAGGGGCGAATATAACATTCTTCCTTTCAGTTAAAAAAATTGACGCCTCTTCATCGATGGCATCGTTCACAGAGTCCATCCATGTCTAAGTCTCTCAACTTATAGGCTTCATTTATTCCATCAAATGTGCACAACATCTAAAAAGTGTGCTTTCATGTGCAAACCGTATTCCGTCTAAATCCTGTTACGCTAAAAATCTAAGTTAAATTGTACATTTGCCGGCCGTTTTCGCTCAGTGCGCCGCGCCGGTCTTTTTTCAGCGGGGCCGTATTAATAACTGTCGCATAGCGGAGGAGAGCTAATAAAGTCCAGGCAAACTGTTTATCTAATAAACTGAACATGAGGCGCGGGTTCCGCCGCCCGCGGCGCGCTAATGTGCCACTGACAAACGGAATGTGGTCCTTGGAAACTGTTGGAAAATATTTCACTGCATGTTTGTGACGTGTTTTCGCTTCGTCTGCTTATTTTCGAAATTCATCGAAAACTGGCTATGAGGTCAATCATTGTGAGGCACAATTATCATAACCATTTAGATGTGTTATTGCTAAAGGGCGTTTGATTGTCAGCTTCCGTTAATGCATAAGTTAATATATAATTAGTATAATATTATAATAATCAATATAAGTTTTAACATTCATATTCATACGTAGACATGTTGGCGCTGGCAACACTGTATACCGGATATGACGTTGTCTACTCGAGCCAAGTGGTCGCATGTAGCAGCGGTCACTTGGATTTCGGCTGTGTTCCCGGACAGTGGTACAACCACGAGTGCTACTTGTCGTTATAATAGTTGTTAATATTCAAGTTCAGTAATAGTTAAAATATTAGAATCAAGGTAAAAACGTTTGAATTCTTATAGACAAGAGAGCGTTTAAGTTGACCCTATATCTTCTACGAAAATTATCTATATAACAAATGTCATACTGCCGGACAGCGATGACTCGATAGGTGTATTTGTCAAGAGTCAGATTTCATCGCTGTGAGTTGTGGGTACCACAAGTATTTATACAGCGTATTTTTATTAACATTTAATAATTACTTTCTTGATTATACTGTTACTTTATTCTACGTGATCACGCTGGTCTTCTGCGAAGCCGTGGACGAAACGACTTTAAGAAAAATACCAATAAACATATTGAAGCTACCATATCACGAGCACGACGACTAGGTACTAGTTGAAGATAAATTAAGAAATAAGACAATGGAAGACCATACTCACTTGAATGAACAGCCACGACGTTACCAGCGCTAGGCTACTGTACTGGCCGTTGAAGCGGTAGTGGTACGCGTAGAACGAGAAGTGGTACAAATAGAAGAACCTGTTAACAATATCAATGATGAATAAGGTTTACACTTATAAATTTAATTAAAAAAAAAAAAAACGTTTGTTTGCCTCCACATGTGGTGAACATAAATCCGCCAAAATAGTCTCGACTTCGAAAAAGGAGGAGGTTTCTCAATTCGACCGTATATATATATTTTTTATGTGTTTTCGTGGATAACTTCGTCGTTTATGACCAATTTTGATGATTCTTTTTTTGTCGGAAAGGAGATATCCCAAGGGTGGTACCATGATAAGGAAACCCGGATCTGATGATGGCATCCCAGAGAAATCGAGTGCCATCATTGAATGTTATAGGTATTAACAATGTTTTTAATTTTCTGATTGAAGTCGGATTTTTTTTTTGTTAAAAATAATACTTGTGTGTTATTTAATAATCTTTTCAGTGCTTCAAACCCTTTATAATCTGATTGAGCCTTTTTAAGAAAAGAAAATACAAGCAGATATTGCTAACCATACAAGTCTGTCCTAAAATATATGAAAAGACGCGTCATAATGTATATATTGAAAAAAACCGTAAAATCAAATCTTCGATGGGACAGAATAACGTGTGTTTGATATTCAATAATGACACATAATAACAAGCTTAAAAGTCACCCAAATGAAAATCAGTCAAGGAATATTCGAAAGTGATGACAATTTAAGTAAAAAAGTTGTCACGCCCCGCTGGACAATTAGGAGGTTGGCGATTAAACTTTGCAATTAAAAGAAAATTGAAGTCAAGTGTTAATTCACCGTTTATTACATAGTAAAAGCCACGTAGAATACGAAGCGAGGGAAGCAGCTATCTCGTTACGTAGTATACAGCGCCGCTGGGGCTCCGCGAAGCAACAAGTACCGACGCCCGGTGGGTGGACATCGTTAAGACCATATTGAAGCCGGCCACCCCATGTGCATGGACTTCATAACATGATCGCGGAAATGTTACATTAATTATATCGAGCTGGCGTCCAATATTGTGCATTTATTATGTTATGAAATAGGTACATCTTTTTTATTAATTCTGTTTGACAACACGAGCGTCTAGATAATTAGATTATGCTTACATCCGGGTCCATTATAACATAGAATGCTCGACCCGGCTTCACAAGATACGTAAAAGTTTCGACGTATCTTCTTTAATAAACGAGTTTAAGTGTACTTTATTTAACAATGAATAAACGAAGCATATGCGACAGTTATAGCATTTTGATACAAAAAAAATTACTGTAATTTTTTAAAATGACAGTTATTTTTAGACCATATATACTTTACGCGTTAACATAATATATATTTTACGCGAAACCGAATCGATTTAAATATTTCAATATGAGTTAGTTGACATGTTGATCAGTCATCGAATGAGAGTATAATGCAGTCTATTTCACTATCAAATTTGACAACAGATAAATTATCATACTTTCTTTGAAGGAAAATTTTTAGCGCTTTTTTTATGAAAACATTTTTTTTTCAACTTGTCCTATTTTTTCGTAAAATGTAGAACAAGCTTTAAAATAGAATTTGAATCATTAAATTATATGAAGAATAATGGAAGTTACGGTGTAGCGACGAAAAATCAGACAAGCGCGAGTCGGACTTGCACACGAAGAGTTCCGTACCTACCATTGTCTATAAAAACGGCCAAAAAATCATGTCTGTTTTATGGGAGCACCACTTCAATATTTTTTCTTCTGTTTTTAGTATTTGTTTCTATATCGCCAACAGAAATAAATCATAGTGAAAATTTCTAACTATTAGGGTTCATGAGATATAGCCTGGTGACAGACGGATAGACAAACAGCGGAGTCTTATTAATAGGGCCCCTTTACCCTTTGGGCACGGAACCCTTAAAAACATCTAATAATTAAGCGGCCCGTAGATTCATCGGCAAGCGCGAGACACAGACACGTGTCGAGGATCACGCTTCAACGTGTGAACGATTCCTCGTATCCAAATATTACGTCTCTCGAGCTCGACGTCAAGTGGCCTCTATTGCGAGGAATAGGCGCCGCGCGGTGCCAATCGCACCCGTCTCGCATACATCCGCCACTTAACCGTTACGTTCGTTATCTCCTTATTTCGGTGGATAAACTCGCAATGTTCGACGCGGGCGACAAACGGGGCCCTGCCCTCGTGAGAAGGGGAAATGTCGCCTCGTTATCTGAAAAGGTTGCGATTTTATTCGAAATCGATATTCACCGAGACATACATTTCTCTCGAGCCCCGGTGTAACCGTTCGTTCCCGTGGCGCGACGCCTGTTAACACGCCAGTTATAGGTGCACTTGTTCAGAATAGTCCCGAGCTGAACATGTTTGTATACATTGTATCGTTAAGCTAAAAAAGGGTGCAGTAACGAAATATATCCATTGAAATGTGATATTCGGTATGTGAAGTCCGCCAATCCGCAGTGGGGCCGCATGGTTGACTATGCCCTGATACCCTCAGTATAGAGGCGGCCTTTGCCCAACGGTGGGACATTTTACGTTTAACCCTAGTAATTTTACTGGCAGTCTAAAAGGTGGACTGAGCAATTAATAATCAATACCACCTCCTTTATTTCTTCATAAACCACTCATCCTTCGAATGACCATGCTTATGTTGTAGCCATCAGAGAGAATTCTTTTTTAATGCACAACCCTACAAGTTATAGTATGTTGTATAAACTAAGAGTTAGCGTAGACCCGGGATACAGTTAGCGCAGTAACGTGAGCACAACACAATCGCTAATGAGCTGCTTAACGTTAATCCCCGATCTACGGTGTACTGAACTGTTCTGTTCGGATTAACTTCTTGCATACTTGCAAATAGATTTACATTTCTCGTAAAATAATATTTTTTCAAGTACGATATTGATAGATTGTATAACATTTTTGCAATTTGTACCATGTTTATCTTATGTTTTGTTTTCTTGCGAATTTTGTCACAGTTCTGATGTTAACCGCTACTTGTATTTTTTACTCTCAAAAATAATACGTTACGTAAGTTTCTCTTCGTAATTAGTAGTTAGGTGGTTGTCGCGGCTAAACATCATGAGACGTGATCTCAACCCAAGTTAGGTGGACATTTGACTATGATGCAAAAAAAACAATAACATTGATTATTAGGGACGAAGAAAATTTAACACATGAAAATACAAAAACAACCGCCGACGATAGGAGGCGTCGCATCGATTAACTGTTTAGAAGCAATTTCACGGACAGTTCGCTTCGGAATAAATTAAAGTGTGGAGCGAAGGCGTTAAAGGCGATTCTGGGGGACCAGTTCTGAGCCGCTTAAGGAGCCTCGCTGCTTTGAGATCAAACGGTGCCGAACTATAGACATACATACATGTAAAATGAAACAAGAAAAGAGCGACGCTGTCTTAATGTTATTTGCCCCATAAATATTTTATCGCCCCCCAACTTTCGCTTTAATGGAAATGTAAATGATGTCACGGCCTTCTGAGTAATCGTTCGGTGGACACTTTGGGGACGATTGATCTCTAACAGTTTTACACTTATAAGTAAATCGCCGTGATTTACTTAACAAATTAATTACATAACTGCAAGTAAAGTCATACAACTCATATAACTAACACACTCAAATACGTAAACGTTCCTAAGGTACCTTATATAACATTTCTAGAAGAGTTACAATTGGAGAACTATAGATTCATCAATCGATACACGTCAACCTGGACGTGACCTAATTTACAAATCCGACTACACAGAGCTTATTGAATCGTAGAACATAGGACGTGCACAAAGGGGGTATATTGAAATTCATGCAGAATAACATACATATGCTAACGATTTAGAAATATGTGAAAAAGGGCGAGTATTTATTAGCTGTGTAAGCGAGGTGTTTCTGTCCGTTAAAAATTTTAGGGAGTATCTCGTCAACGCTAGTTCGTTAAAATTCTATTACTAAAATACTAGTTTTGTAATTGGGGATATTCCTTTGTTTTCTCGTCTGGTTGGGTTTATAGATAAAAAATAAACATATAGATATATATTGCATATATAAAATAAATATTATGAATAAAAATTAATTATTGTAATTATTATTAATATTCTAATAATAAAAAAAATTATGCTACATTCAAAGATCAAAAAATTAAGATATTCTATGGACTATAAAATAGATCACTTATATATCAAAAAATAGAATAGAATTGCCCAGCTCCGAGCTATAAGAAGCAAAGCAAGATCACAAGGTCAGATGCCACTTTAAGCCTGTATAAAATATCATAAGTCGAATGTCCTTTTACAATTTTCCTTATTACATCAAAATTATTCAGAAGCCGGATAGGAGGGGGAGACACTGAATCTTGTTCAACTAACTCGGTGCGAAATCACTTTTGCCTTGGCCTTTGATCTCTGCTGCGCAAAAGGAATGTTATTCAGTAAAAACATGCAAATTCGATAAGGTATAACACAATATTATCGCCGTCGACTCTCTCTCTACAATACTTTGAGAGCGAGGGAAATGCTTTGAATATTGGCAGTTGCCGGAACCTGAAACCTGCAAATCATCTAATAAAGCAATTTACGTCGGCAAACGATTTAATAGGTTACTTTAAAACAATTTTAAAGATATAAAGTCTACACTTAGTAAGATACATGAAAACTTTAGCCTTTTTTGAAGTTACAGTATAAACAAGATAAGTTTGTTAGTTTGTATGTAAAAATCGTTGACTACCTACAATTCTTTACTATTTTTTTTTAATCAGACTAAAATCTTGGTCAGATTTTAACAGAGAATGTGTTGCGTGACAAGTTTCACGTTTTGTGTGGGGATTTTCTATAATTTCACACGGTGGTTAATCTTTAAGGTATGTCACGAATTTACTCTATTTAAGGTGCCTGAAGTGAGTGTTTCCGCTGGTTAGAAATCGTAGCTCTTTTAGTACTGAGAGTTTAAACGAGGCCGTGACGAGGTAGACGACAATGCCAGGCGAAGAGAGCCGTCAACTAATGTTATTTTAATGAATTCGGTTGGTCCTATGGACACTTAGC